TAGAGGTTTTGGGGGCAGAGGTTACAACGAACGGAGTGGGATTGGGTGGGAGTGTTATGTTGACGTGACTCCTGCGGCGATATGTTGTGGTGGTGAGGGGAGAGAGGTCTTAACGTTTGGACTGTGGGCCACTTATTCGGGGGAGGAGGGACTGGTTCAGAATCAGTGAAATTTAACTTGACCGAGCACGGACAGCCTGCTGTTGCTTCAGGCTGGGCCCAGATTAGTCGACCATGCGCGAAAATCGGTATAGTGTGAGTCACGCTCTATGTGTCTGTTAATACTAGCCGGGCTCGAGTGCCACGCTTCGATGAATTCTCTCTCTTGCCTCATATCAGCCATGGCGATCACCTCGGTGCCATCCCAATTGAATCGGTGATTACACTCAAGGGAGTGCGCAAATACGAGTGATAAACGATGCCGTCGGTGAACGGCTGACTTATGTTCCTTGATACGAGTTTCAAGGCGTCGGCCTGTGTGGCCAATATAAACACAAGGGCAACCGGCGCACGGTATACGGTAAATGAAGTTACTTAGTTGTTCCACGGGTATACGGTCCTTTACTCGACATAGGCTTGCGCGCAGTGAAGATGCGGGCTTGTGGGCGACGGAGGTGCCAAATCGACTTAGTTACCGAGAGATGGTTTCAGACATTCCAGTTATGTAGGGTAGAGATTAAAATTTCCGTGGCACTATATCGTCATTAGGAGGGAGGTTTTGTGCTTGACCCCGGTGTCTAAGGCAATTTTTGACAAAGCTTGTGGGATATCCGTTGGCCCGGAAGAATTTGTACAAATACGCTAGTTTCCTCTTGAGCAAACCATCATTACTGCTATAACGTATTGTGTTATTGTGTATATCGTATTGTGTTTTTGATTAACAATGTCATCTTTAATTTATATCCAATGACTGTGGTGCGTTCTGACATATGTGATGTTTACTGTAGCGGCCAACTCTGGCATATCATCCGTTATCACCCAAGCGACTAGCTGTTAGTTACATTCTCATCATTTGCACATCGGCTTTTTTGACTTCAAACGCCTAAGGACCACGGGCCTGCACTCTAACCATCTATTAATCCTCTCATCCTATTCATCTTATTTACTTATTTTTGCCACAACAAAAGGTTTGAATTGGGATATTTAAAACGATTGTCGTGAGTCACTCTGTAAAATTCTCCCACTTCCCATAGAACAGGTTGCGATCAAGGGTAAAAAATGAATAATTAGCCCGTTGAGCCCGCTTAAGTCGTGATCATGTTAATGTGAAATGCACATGCATATTTCAGTCACTTTCCCTAAATTTTAACCTCTAACCAAAAACATACTTTGACTAAATAGTTGCAAATGAACCCATACCGACAACTAAACAATTGCTATGACTGTAATGCATTATAAACCGTCAGAATATTTTAAACGATCTCGTGTCAGAAACTCGGTTCTTTGCGTTATGTCATGCCGCTGTCAGTTTCAAGGGGTGAAACTCTTCAAAGCTAAAATAAAATTAAAATGTCTGCTTTCTGCAACCCCTTCAGGACTGAGGGATCTCCCAACACTTTGTGAGACTTGTTTACTTGACATATTTCAGTTGTTACGCGTGCGATGAGACAGTGCTTGGGGACGAACGGTTCTTCAGAGGAAAACTCTATTGTCCGGGTTGCTTCCTCAAAGCGGATATTCATACCTGCTACGCTTGCCAGTAAGTCCGCTACAGCTCCATGCAGTTTCACTTGAATGCACGAAGCTAATTCAAATCCTCCGCTTTGAACTGACCCAAAGCAACTAAAACAGAGGAAGTATACTCATGTTTATATATATATGTGGTATGAAACTGTGTTTACCCATGATCAGATCACTCAAAATTGGACGGGACTTTCGTCGTGGGTTATATTACCTGACGTTTCAACCGACAGTATTAGTTGTCTATTGTTGGATGCAAATATCCTCTACACAATTTGTCTCATAAATGCGTCTCCTTCGACTTTATGCTTTCCTGACCAATGCAACCCGCTAAGGGGGGAGGGGAGGGCAAGCGTCTCACCATCCCTCGCGGCTTCACCGCATCTGCCATTGTGTAGGTGGCTGGGACGGTGTAGATATCCCTTCGAGAGTGACCCGCACACCGTGGATTTCAGGCACCGTTTGCTGTAGGAAGGTAGTGCTTCTCTGTAAGATCGCCGCTTCTGTCAGTTTTTGGCGTTGAACTGATGTTGATAAGCGTGGTCCCACGAATACTGCGGGCTGTCAGGTGGTCGCAAAATCCCGATGGACCATTGGTGTATTTTCTTGCGGTTGGTGGATCCGACGGGGCATTGTCGTTCTTGCCCTCATTTTCATAATTGGACAGGGTCATGCATAACACAAACAAATCAAAGGGAGGGTTGATTGGAGGTCTACTGACAACGCTCTCATCCACCGCTTCTCACGGTTCAAAAAGTGACTTGTTTGCGTGGTGTACTTTGCCCCTTTGAGTTCGATTACACACTTGCTACCACCAACTGAAGTCTGTCTGACCATATTAACTGCTAATGACCAATTTCTCCGGCACATTGTCATTTTCCGTGAAAAATTTCAAGTCCCTAGTATGTAACATACTTCTGCTCTTTGGACACTGGTACTTTTGAACGCCTCCACTCTCAACGGAGCCTTGAGTCCGATCTATGCACAGTTCCCGTTCTATTTGCTCAAAAAGATATGGACGCCATGTCAAAAGTGTTTTTTTCATGAGTATCATTGCCACAAACTGGGTTGACTTGCTTTCCTACTCCGGTTTCTTTAACAACGATTATGCGGGAATGGTAATTAGTATGCTAGTATATCTGAATCCCAACTGCAGAGATGTCAGCATGCAACATGAGCTGTAAGTTGGGCGAGTAAAATCGATCCAAGTGTGATTAAATTTACGGCGCAAGGTAAGCCTTGTAGCTCAATGGTAGAGCGTTGACTGCGCCAAAGCCTCCCCTGCTATGTGGGTTCGACTCCCGCCGAGGCCGATAATTTTTCACAATTGGGTCAACTGAATTAAGCAAATCCGCGAAACCCCCTATCAATAAAATACTTTTGTAACAAATTTCTCCACCAGTACATAGGTCCCTTTTTTGCCTAATCTTTTAATGGCCAATAAAATTTCACGAAGAGAAAGTCGGAATACGAAAACCTGCAAACTTGCCATGTTTCTCCTTAAACAGTTCCCAGAACAGGTTTTGGGGTACCGCGTTCTGATGTTCTACGACTTTAAATCCGTGAAAACTCTACTTATTCATCAGCAGTATTATAAATGTGTCGTTATGCCCATTCCTGAAAAGTCAATGGCAAGAGCGGAGACATTTTATCACTGGGTCACTGCTCCCTCTCTTGGTCTTAGTTACTTGATAACGATGGTAGGCACTGGCATTTATACATTTATTGGTTCTCAGACAAGCTCCCAGTCGCTGAAGCGACAACTAACGGGTTGAAGTCTTGAAAACTATCGAGTCAATTTTGCGATCATATCCGATACGGTTTTATGAAATCTTTCTGGGCATATATCCTGTTACTTAGGCTCCCCTCACCCCCATCCAAACTAGCAAAATGAAATTTGGTGGATATCTGGCTTGCATTTACACCTTCACCATAGACCAGTAGCTCACTTTGCCCAGAAAAATCGCCATAGACCAGTAGCTCACTTTGCCCAGAAAAATCGTCCTAAATAATTAGAGGAAGTTGGATAGCGCTGTCCTGATCATATCTCCTTGCGTCACTGGGACTTCTTAATGGTGCTCTTGATAGGCTGGATTTGGCCAGGTCTGGTGAACTAGGAAGGGGATGCGCTTGGATATCGTCCCCACTGAAGAGCTCATCTCACCTAGGGCCCGGTGATATGTCTTATCTTATCACTAAGTAAGTACCTGTTACTGTCGGTCCTGCCAGGGTAAAAACCCCAAAATCTTTGTGCGTATATTGCGCAGACAGTGGCGTCTAGGCTCTCGGTTGATAACCACAATAAGCCTCGAGGTTATCTAAATCCTATAAGTGACAACAAGCAAAATAGAAGCTAGATACAGTTTGTTTTTTTCAGCTTTAGTACTGACCTAGCAGTCAGCCAAATGCCCGGCAAACCCCCCTGACGATAAGTAAACCGACGCATGTGCACCCAGCGCACACGATCTACGAGTGGTGCCAAACCCCTGTTCCGGTTGCACCCGTATTGTTTATTTTTGCGGTTCTGAGTCAGGCTTTTTACTGGTTGGCGCGTCAATTAATGCGAATTTGTTGACAAGAGGGCAAGTTCGTCGAGGTAACACAAGAAGCTGTGTTCTCCTATGTGACCTTTGCCTGGAGCTGTATACGAGGTTGACGCCTCTACACGTTAAGGTCGTTCACTTCGGAAGTAGCAGTTAAAGAGAGTTTAGATATTGCGTCTCAACTTGTGTGGCCTATCTAAGTCGTCAGTACCGATGTCGCCTCGATTATTTATATGATCGTGGTCTCGCGATGACGTCCATTCCGGAGGTTCATCCTCCTCAAATTAGGCCGATGTTGTTCGGTCTTGCAGTGTGCCATATCCCGGCCCCCCAAATAATGTAAACAATCTTGCTGCCCGTGCGTACTGATAATTCCTTCAAATATGCATTGCCTACAGACACTCCGAATATCCAATAAGAGTATGACAGGCAAGTACATTGACTAGAAATCATTTCTATGGCCCCGCCCCAGCTGGAGAGGGGTTCATAGTAACGCCCATATTTTCTGTAATGCAGGTGACATTACGCTCAAGTCTAAGAAGGGCACCTATTCCCGTTTTCTAACGCTAACACTGAAGTTAGCACAATCCCTCATTGTAACCCTGTCCTTAACCATAACTCTATCGCGATAATAACCCTAATTACCCTGGAATTTAGCGCAAAGGCGCCTATATTGCGGAGATTTCCTCGAACAATATCCTTTCGGAGGGCCAAATAAGAGCTCTCTAGTATAGATCCTCACTCACCTTCAGTGTGTGTCAATGCAGGCTCAAGGAGGCTGAGACGGATACGGCTACTCCTATTTCTACTAATTTAATAGCTAAGCGTTAATAGTTCTGGTACTAACACTAACGTTACCATTTGGCAGAGGTGACGCTGATTAAAGCCAGCGCTGGGGCTCATACCCCCTTTTTCTCAACAAGGAGCGTGAATCTGGATTTAAACTATTCCGAGTAATTATATGTTTGCGGCCCTGAACACAGCAGAGTTTGCCTTGGTTTCCACCCTCTCAACTCTATTCATCAGGCTGTGTCCGTTTCTACTAGGTTCAGACTACGATACTGCTGCTAGAAGTACGTGCCTATGCTAAAGTGCTAATTCTAGTAATCATGCTTTCTAAGGCCAGTAAAACGTATACTATAATACGGCTTTTTAAAAAGTTGACACCCAGTGATTAACTTGTGGATTGAATAAAGCGTTATTGAATAAACAGCACAAGTCCTACTTTGCATTTATGTCGCGAAGTTTGCCATCTATACACTACCTTTAAGCCTACTACAGTATCTAGCTGTAGCTTAGACCCTGCAGAACGTCTACTCGTATCCCCTCGATCTCAGGATATTGTGAATCTGGGTTTACGCTATTTCGAGTAACTACATGTTTGCGGCCCTAAGCACATCAGGACTTTCCTTGGTTTCCGCCCTTTCACTTCTATTCACCAAAAGCTGTGCCACATTTTACTAAGTTTGGACTACTATACTGCTGCTAGAGGTAATATGCCCCTACTAAGAGTGCTACTTTTATTAATCATACTTACTAAGACCAGTGGATGGTATATTCTAGTAATATATTCCTATAATTGTATCAATAGTTGACATACATTCTATTATTGCAACAAGCAGAACGGATAGGAATATGTGCTTACGCGCGTCCTAAACTTCGTCTGAGTTGATTTATAAGACACCTGGGCAAGCGTTCACGTCCGGTAGATAAGTGTCTTGGTTTGTGTACGGCTGCGGTCCTATTACAGAAAAGTTTTGACAGATATTAAGATACATATTTTTCTGCTCCGCGACCGTATGCCCGTCAACTCGCTTCACGTACACATTGACAGCCTGGTGCACAAACTAAGATCCGTTAGCCAAGAGAAATACCCATTTACTTAAAAATGAATTCATCTTATTCAGAAGACGATGTAACTTCAGTAAACTTGCCACGCGGTTTAAGTTATGAGCAGCTTCTATCCTGTCCTGTATTTTGTCGGCCTCTGACTGGTGTCAACTGGTGCCGCGCTAAAACATCCAACCTTGCTAGTAGGTTGGTCGTTCCTTTCAGCACCTGTACGCTGTACTGCTTGTGTCCTGGACGACAAGCTATATCTCAACGTATTCCAGTGTGTTGCATTCAGCGACTGAACGAGCAAGTGGTGGAGACTGTTCATACTTTTGAAAATTGTATAAAGTTAAAATCCGTGGAGTTTAAATCGAAATAATGATGGACTGAGCCGTGCTCTCGAGCACTCTCTCTAGTGTGCTATCAAGCTTCCTCAATATGGAGCATGCACCGTCTAAAAGCTTAAGACCGCAAATTTGTCATGAAAACTTTGCCTGACCGTTAAACGGTCCTTACATCACTCGTTGTATGAATAACTTTTGATGATCATGGGCTCCCGCGTCTCTTCATCTGGTCGGCAGACCCGGTAACCAACAAGGGCGTATGATGAGCGCATCTCCGACACTCG